TCGGAAAGTTAGGGCGGATTTCCGCAATTCGGCCTGCCGGGATGAAGCGGGCGGCAGCGGTCACGACGACCCTGCGGAATGAGCGTTCACCAGCGGTGACGTCAGTTGGAGTGGGAAGAGCACTAAAGGCGTTCTCGCTAAATTCCGTGAATCCGGGCCAGTTAGCTTTTTTAAAGTTAACAAATGTCCGGTGGTCCGCGGAAACAAAGTCAGGAGGCCTGTCAATCGAGATATGTATGGGCAAGTGGTCCGATGCTAACGTCAGTATAGGTCGCCAGACTATACTGTTTATCAGACCAGCACTCGCAATTGTTATGTCTGGCGAGCTTTGGCAATTACCCATAACTCTGGTGGGGGCGTTATCGTTCATTGTGCAGAATGTCGAATCGTCTATCTGTTCCGCCAGCTTCATTCCTCGACGGTCATTTGGCAGGCTAGAATGCTAAAGATCGTGATGCGCGTTAAAGTCGCCCAAAACCAAACGGTTTTCGCCCCTGAGTAGCGCACCTATTTCAGGGGTGTATCCAGCTGGGCAACTTGTAACTGGAGGAATGTATATATTAAATATTTCGAGCTCGACATCGCCTGCCCGGATAGCTATGCCCTGACATTCTAGGGTAGTATCCCTGCGGTCGATGTCGCCATCGATGGGACGATACTGCACGGTGTTGTGCAGGATGAACGCTAAGACCCCACCATGGTCTCGCTCGCGATCCTTGGGGATTATGTTGTATCCGGCCCTGCTCAGAAGAGCTGATCGGGCGGTCAGCTTAGTTTCCTTGATCGCAGCAATTGACAGGTGCTCCCGGCTCATGTCGACTATCTCGTTGAATTTTCCGTGGAGTCCGTTGCAGTAAATTATAGGGGTCGGGTCTGTCTGAGGGGAACGTTCGTGATACGGGTGGTGAGGAAGTGATGCGAGGATGGGATGTGTTGCTGCTGTAATGCCCGCATAGATTGGCTCCGAACCTTGTTGTTAGTTGGCGGAGGGTTTGTTGAGTTAGGCGGGGGCAGACTCCTACAGCACGGGGCAACTTACGACTCGCTCCATTCACGGGTGGTGCGCAGGCCAGGCCAGGCCAGAGTACATCCGTAAATAACAACACCAAGAGCAAGAATTGCATCTGACTGAGGTGACGTTCCGACGTACTATGGTCTGACATACGGAACAGACTTTTCGGTGGACTAGGAGCAGCTGTGGGAGGAGGATGAGGAGCTGGTTGTGGGTAGGGATGGGGGTGGAGGTTTGGTGGAAGTCATGCTGCGGGGAGCTCCGTGAGACAGTAGAGGTCTGTTGATTACCCTAAGTGGGTAAGTGTGGACAACACTGCCGTGGAGGGTGAGGGGGCGCTGGCAGCATGGCACCGCATAACTCTTGATCCACTTCCTGTGACTTTTAAGGCCTGAGCAGGTCTTAAGGTGACTCCAGCCATTGCACTGGTTGCATCTAACCGAGGTGGAGGAGTGGTGGACTCTTTTATGAAACACGCAGCAGAAATAGTTCGTTGAACCAGGGTTGGTTTCGACACCAGCCCTGATAAGAAGGATTTGGAGCAACCCAGTTGCAAGGTGTTGCTCCGTTGGCGAACTTAGACTAATGTTACCTGTTGACCTAAACGGGGTCAGGTCGTCGAAAGGGTGACAGCCGTTGGCCGGATAAAATCTCTCCTAAGTTGTCTATTCTTTGGTTAGCAGACTTGTAATGTCTTTACTCTGAAGACCGTTGAAAATTCGTCTGCTCTGAGTGTTAGATGAGCCGTGAGTTGAAATTTTCGCTGCCAGATGTAATAATCTTGTAAATCCATCAACTGCATTGTCGACATCTGCTACTTATTTTAGAGGAATGAGCGATTTTAGATGTGCACTTATGAACTTTCTATATTTTAGCCAATTTTCTGTATTTTAGTGTATCGGTTAAGCCTAGCTGTAAGTCATTGACAAGGCGAGTGATCAGATAATAAGTGGGAAAGGGGTTTTATGCTTACTCTTGCTCTACTGATACCACAAGCTACACCAAAGTCAATCAAATCTCAGTTTTTTTGGTCAAATGAGTTTCGGAGAACAGCATTATATCTATTGCTTGAGTTTTTAAGAAGAGTTGAAGTTCATTTTTGTGTTGGCCCAAGCCGTTGGCGTTCCAATAATATATATCAATTTCATTCATAGCTTAGACAAAATCGTTTGAAGGAGGAGATTTTGATTTCAAATTAAATCTTGCATCATACTTTGCATTGATGTCATATGTTCTTGCATTATACGTATAAAATTATTTAGCGTATTTTCAAGTGAGTTAACAGAGGTGCACCTTTTAAATCTTGGGTGTAGGATACAAATTTGGTATTAGTAGGTTTTTGAACTGTGTGAATCTCCACAAATGACACATATACTTTGTAAAGCGCATTATCGCTATGGCCAAATTCTTGACAATTATGGCACTGAACCGAACCTATTCGCTTACGGGGTTCTTCCACGGAAATACGACGGTGAAGAAGGTACCGCAGTTTGTAAATGGAATGGACTTCTCCTTTTTTAAGAGTTGGAAATCTGGCTCAATATCAACTCTAAACATTGGCCTTATCATTAATGTTGTGATTTTTGTTGTTGATTACGTATCTAACCCTGAAACCTTCTTCTATCAAGGTACTTTCTATTTCCGAGGAGCTTATACTGTGTTCAATGCTTTTGAGGATGACTGCTAAGCTACAACTATTTTCTACGACAAATTGGCGGCGGCTAGAACGTTTTCTGCACACGCACTATATCATCAGCATTAGAAACCAATATGAAATCGATTATTGCCTTTGCTGCTGGGCGAGCCCATCAAGGGGCTGGTATTATGGTCCTAGAAGGGATTACAAGAGCAGAAGACCCATTTTCCAATCGTTGTGTTCGTTGTTGGTGCGCCACTCCATGTAAATAACACAATTTGTTATATAAAAGGTTTCACTTTCACTTCAATTTGTTCAGTTTCCGTCTGAATTAATTTATTTGTTTATTTGCACAATATATTCTTATTAAAAATTGAAAATAAATATCATCATATCACAGTCTCTTTCACTTCGCACTCGCAGCAGTTGCCAGCAAGGTTTTTTTACATTTACCCCTTCACAATAATTCGAGCCTGTATTCTTTCATCCAGCTGGTGAAGAGGGTATCCGAGGACTTAGTCGGTTGTATTTTAAGTTGTCTTGCAGTGAAGAAGTGGGACAGATCGGCGCTGAAGTGTAATTTCTGTGTTTGGGACCCGGCACGTAGAAAACAGCCTCAATGAAAAACAAGACACCTTGGATGAGATACGCCTATTCTGTTGACGAGCCCCGCAAACGAAATAAGAATCATAATTTGAGGACATGCATCTAGAAAGTCCGGCCCCTTAATTCCGAGATCACATCCGTGCAAGAAGTTCGATGGCCAGTAAAAGGACGAAAGCGAGTACATTATTCTGACATCTACTACAGCGGCCATCTAAGAGAGCACAAATATTGTGTCGGATTTTTGATGAAAAAGGGCCTCCGTCTTCGCATCAACGCAAAATTTTTCATTATACCATTGAGTTGCGACCACGCCCGACGGACGTGACGGATGACGCCTTTTATGCGCGCCTAGAGCATACTTACGAGCGAAAAGGACAATATCGAGCAACACTTATTTACATAGCTCTATATATATATTTATAGAAATTTTAATTTCTAATAAAAAATTGTTCTTATAAATTTGAAAGTGAAAATTATAATGATTCAGAATAATGAAAACATTTGAAATTAAAAAATCAGTAACATATTAATTTAATGTTACAAATGTCAAAGTATATTCCTACAGACATCAAGCTACTTGGCTGTCCCCTGATCGAAATACACAGAACCCAGATCGTTCGTGTTGTGATAGGCGGAAGACATATGTCAAGAGTTCGTGATGTGCGCACACTCCGAGGACCCAAAATTCACTCGGACCACTATCTTGTTTCAACGACATGCAAAACGCGACTGCAGACAAAAAAAAAAGAGGCCGCTATGCGTGAGTATGAAGACCTTGAGAAGCTGGCCCACATGGGTAATTCTCGAAAATTTTATGAGAATATACGGTTTCAAGACCGAAGCAAACTCTAGTAGGACGCAAAGAGGATATTTCGCCACCGATGCCCAGTGTATATAGAATCTATGGAGTTAAAACTTCTCCAGACTGTTTTTGCAGCTACATCAACCCCGCTTGGGGTCCTGTTTAAAATCAAACTACGAGCTTAACCTGCTACAGGGTCCAGACCTAATTTGTGGCATGGTCCCGAGGCTCTTTCGAGGCAGCCCGAGCGCGTTGTCTCGAAGAGAGAAGGTGTTGGCTGACTCCTGGTGAATGGCTGTCATTGCCTGTCTGTACGTCGTCCTGCCAAGTGGTTGTTGTACACATTGCTGGATGGTGTTTTTCATGAGCAAGTGGTGCCCTGGCGATATCAAGATTTTCTGTCGTGTAGCTTCTACACCTATGTTTCGTTTGTCTCCGGCGCCCAGATCATTGCAGCGTAGTTTATGTCTGGCCGGCCAATTGTTTTGTAGGTTGCCAGCAAAGTTTTTTTGCTTTTACCTCAGGTCCTGTCGCCTAGCGCTTAGCGTATTTAAAAGCGTTTCTGGAGTTATGCGGCAATTTCGGTCGTATGCGGAGTGAAGGAGTGCAGGTTATCTAATGTTACTCTCAAAATCTTTGGGTATGCGGGGTGAAGGAGTGGAGGCTATCTAATGTTACTCTCAAAATCTTTGGGTTGTTTACAGTCGGAAATATGACATGATCGACTTTCGCATCCAGCTCACGCCTATATTGCTTCGTCCAGCTTGTGAAGAGGGTAGCCTAGGATTCGGTCGGCTGTATTTGTATATTGTATTGTCGTGCAGTGCAGAAGTGAGAAAGATCGGCAAGCTAACAGTTCATTTTCCAACAGAGATCATCAATATCCTGGCCAGACGCCAGGATTCCTCAATGTCCGTTAGTAGCACTGAATGATTGACTGTGTCAAAAGCTTTGGACAAATCCAGTGCTACCAGGACAGTTCGCGCGCAGGGTCGGTTTTGGTTATGGCCATTGATTATCTGGGAGTTTATGGCGTTTAGTGCTGTCGCCTTCCCGATGACCTCCCGAACATCCTCCCTGAAGATATCAAGCGCCGCGCCTGTGTTTGGCAGTTTTTGCATACGGCGGGTTACACGTCGCTGCGTTTTATCTACCGGAGGATGCAGTGTAAAAAGTCGTCTAAAAGAGCTCGCTCGTTTCTTCGGGTCCGAGGAGGCGCGACCACCGAATGAAATTTCCACCCGGTCGTCGCGTCTCGTCGAGCCAGACAGCTACTTGACTATAGCCCAGAGCTTTGTTGCCCCAGAGGAGAGGCTGCAGATCCTTAAGTGTTCCTTCCAATTTTTGCTAGTACAGCCGCTTCTGTCGGAAAATTCGAGCTCGGCATCGCCCTGACATTCTAGGATAGTATCTCTGCGGTCGATGTGGCCGTGGATGAGACGATACTGTTGTATCCGGCTTAGCTCAGAAGATGATCCGACGCACTATGGTTTGATAAACGAAACAGGCTGAGCGAGGGACTACGAGCTGCTCGGTAGCCCTAGCATGAAACTAGGATGAGGAGCTGGTTGGGGGTAGCGATGGGAGTGGGGTTGGTGGGAGTCATGCTGTTGGGGGCTCCGTGAGACCGTAGAGGTCTGTTGGATACCCAAAGGGGGTGGTGCTGAAGGCACGGCCGTGGAGGGTGAGGGGGCGCTGGCAGCATGGAGCCACACAATTTGTGATCTTAAGATGGCTCCATCCGTTGTACTGGTTGCACCTAACCGAGGCGGAGGAGTGGTGGAGTCTTTTCTGGGATGCGTTGCAATGTTTATTCATTTCAGGTACATCTAGTTTTTAAAATATTGTATATATTACTATTATAAATTAATCGTATCAATTCTATTCTTATAATAATAAATATAAAAAAGAACTAATAAATGATATGAGTTCATAAAAATACACCCGCACACACACATACTAAATCTAATTCGCAAAATTATCGTGTCAGTGTTAGACACGACACTCCTCCGAAACGGCTTGACAGATTATATTAAAATTCTAGGTCATATTGCGTAAGTCTAAAAATCATCTAACATCTATATTTCACACCGTGGACCTGGGGAGTTTCGAGGCTATACATAATTCCTATTCTTGCGTCCACGTCGCGCACCCTGGAAACGTGAGCAACCCTTGTGCAAGATGCGGTAACCAACCCGTGTGGAGCCTCGGGTCACCGCTACTGCGGGAGGAAAAAAAACTTTAAACTTACTCGCCTAGCGAGGTTGCGCGCTGAGTTTGGCACCCGCCACGTACAATAGAAACCAGCACCAATGAAAAATGCAATAACTCTCACCTTGCAGCTGGGTTGCTCCAAATCTTTCTTATCAGGGCTGGTGTCGAAACCAACCCTGGTCCGACGGACTATTTCTGCTGCGTGTGTCACGAGAGACTCCACCACGGTTAGATGCAACCAAATCAATGGCTGGACTCACCTTAAGACCTGCTCAAGTCTTAAGACTCACAGGGAATAAACCACGAGTTATGTCAGGGCATAGCTATCCGGTCAGGCGATATCGTGCTAGAAATATTCAATATATACATTCCTCCAGTTACAAGTTGCTCAGCAGGATACACCCCTGATATAGGTGCGCTACTCAGAGATGAAAACCGTTTGGTTTTCTGCGACTTTAACGCACGTCACGATCCTAGGCATTCGAGCCTGTCAAATTACCGTAGAGGAATGAAGCTGGCGGAACAGATAGACGATTCGACATTCTGCCCTATGAACGACAGCACCACAGAGTTATGGGTAATTGCCAAAGCTCGCCGGATATAACAATTGCGAGTGCTTCTCTTATAAACAGTATAGTCTGGCGACCTATACTGACGTTAGCATCGGACCACTTGCCCATACAAATCTCGATGAACAGGCCTTCCAATTTAGTTTCGGCAGACCACCGGACATTTGTTAACTTCAAAAAAGCTAACTGGCCCGTATTCACGAAAATTACTGAAAACGCCTTTAGTGCTCTTCCCACTCCATCAGACGTCACCACGGGTGAACGTTTATTCCGCAGGGTCGTCGTGACCGCTGCGGCCTACTTCATTCCGGCAGGCTGAATTGCGGAAATCCGCCCAAATTTTCCGACAGAAGCGGCGGTATTAGCATCCAGGCGCGACACCCTCCGAAGTTTCGATGCCGGGAATCCCCTAATCAGGGATTTAAACGCGAAGATTCGAAGAGTAGTCAATAATCATAAGCGGAAAAAGTGGGAGGAGCACCTAAGGACCTGCAACCTCTCCTCTGGAGCAACCAAGCTCTGGGCTACAGTCAAGTCGCTGTCTAACCCGACGAGACGTGATGGCCTTGTGGAAATTTCATTCGGTGATCGTGTCCCGGCGGACCCGAAGAGATGCGCGAGCTATTTTAGCCGACTTTTCACACTGCATCCCTCGGTAGACAAAGCGATGCGACGTGTAACCCGCCGTATGCGCAAACTGCCTAAAATCAGCGCGGTGCTTGATTTCTCCAGGGAGGAGGTTCAGGAGGTCATCGGGAAGGCGAAAGCCTCCAAATCTATCGGCGCCGACGGAATAAGCATGCTGATGCTGAAACACCTAGGACCAGCGGGCGCAGAATTTCTCACCAGTGTCCTCATTATGTCTTTGACCACCCTAAAGATACCCGATGTGTGGAAAATCGTTAGGATGGTCCCGCAACTCAAACCGTGGAAACCAGCCAACAAAAGAGAGTCCTATCGGCCGATAACTCCTTTTCCCCAGTAGTGAAGACACTTGAGGCCTTACTGCTGCCGACTTTCACTTACCATCTGCTTTTAACAGCACAACAGCATGGCTTCCGAAAAGTGCACAG